TATTATATAACAGAATTTAAAATAACAATTTTCAGACACTACATTATTTTGAAGCAAAATTATTGAAAACTTTTAAATTTCTTCTATAACATGCTTTCATTAAATCACTTTCAGGCTAATAACATGTTTATCAAATGTAAAACAAATATATATTTATATACTTTTGAAACTTTTTAGAATATTCAAATATTATTTACATAATATTTTGAAAAAATTTATTAAATCAACAGCTAAATATCAATGATAATTATTCTTTTTTCATTTTTTAATATTCATCTTATGTTTAATTTTGATCTTTTTATATATATAATATTGTTTAATAACTTGAATTTATTTATTAATATACCTACTTTAAGTGACTACATTATCATTAAAAAGATCAACTTAATATAGTTATCTGACAGCATAATTATCAATTAATTTGAAGCAAAATTTTTCAATAATTTTCCTTTCAATTAATTAGCAATGCATAAGTTAATTCTATTAATGTAACTAATTTGATTAAGGTATATAATTTTTAATTATTTAAAGACACCATCTCTGTTATAAATTACAAAAACAAAGAAAAGCTACATAACAGATAAGATGTCAAATAAAATATGGATAGAAATTTCAAAATTTATGCTAAATTCCAGAATTACTATTTATTTCAATTTGAATTATACTGAATATAATACTAATCTAATGAGTTTCACATATAATTCACAAAAGATCAATTTTGTTACAATATTTATAAACAGTTAATAAGTTCATTATGAGAATCAATTTGTAATAAAATGATAGAATTAAAGATATTCAGACGTAAACTTTTATATTATAGCCAATCAATTCAGATGTCTACACTAAAGATAATGACAATGTGATGGCTGCAAGCAGTACCTAGGACAATCAGATTGAATGAACAAAAACAGGCTTGCCCGAAGCAAAAATATAGCAGTTTAAAGATATCATCAGGGCATATCTGGCAATTGGCCAGATTTTAAAATCAATGTGACATTTTGAAAGATTAAGTGCATTATAAAAACCAACTGAATTATTAAAATACTTATAAAAATTGTTTTCTTTCTGCTATATGTTTCTGTACTTTCTTTATCCTTTGATTTAATTCCATTAGCATAATTTGACATTGTTAGAATAATATAATTAGGTTACATAAACAGAATAATTTATCCAATTGAGAGTAAAATTTAAATTTAGCAATTACTGTATTATAATATATATGAATGTTAAAAATTGATATTGTGTTATAGATTTGACAATTATAAACGCTTTTATCCATTAAAAATATTTCTCATTGCAGTTACATAACAATCTAATTGATCAATAACAGTTATACATGATATACAAAGAATTTTTAATTACTGAACTTATATAATTATTATCAATGACTTAGCATTATATTATTATTCAATAATGAGCGTAATAAATATTTTTTATAATGTAAAATGAACAAATTGAGGAGAATACAGTAACAAATTTCTTTGTAAAAAATCATTGTTTCAATCAAGACAATATATTCCAATTCTTCTATACATCATAAACAAGTGAGGTACTGTACAACAGTAATGAAAAATTTTCTTTCAAAATAAAAATGTAATACAGTTGCACAAGTGAATAAAAATTATGAAATATAATTGATGTTTTATCTAACATTCTACTGACTAAAAACTGATTACAGTTAAGTAATCCATTAATATAAAATTATTATCAAATGTAGCTTAAAAAACAGTTAATTTTGCTCTAAAAATAAATTATGAAATATTTTATAGTTATCTTTCACTTACAAAAATATAATTGAAAAACAACAATATCAAATAGTGCAAGTAACCTATAATATGTTGTACAATAACAGAAATATTTTGTCAAATGTAATAAATTATTCTTTTTTCTCAAAAATAGTGAATTCATGTCATATTTATGGGATTTGTTGAAATAAAAACTATGTAATAATTATACTTTGTGTAATTATATATGCATAATTATATAAAATCCAATCATTTTTTAGTGTTTTTGCTCTATTATAAAAAAAACTAACAAAACTATCTTTTCTTGAGTGAATTTTTAAAATATTTCTGTCTTTTTCTAATTTCTTTTTAAGAAGTTAAATGAAATTTGTATAAAACTATAATATTTGCTCAAAAAAAATGCTTCAATTAAAAATTTTAATTCTTTAAATATGATTAAATTTATTTTACTAAACAATATCACATAATTGACTTTTCTTTCAATCTATACTTCATCCAATAGCTCTCAGGTTAGACATTTTTTTCAGAATCAAATTGTAAATTGATAAAATGATAACATTGTTATTGTTTATATATTTCAATGGTTTATATACTCATTGATAAAAAGCTATGCACCAAAAAAAGAGGCATTGGAAGTGAATGAAACTTTATTAGTGTAAACATAATGTCAATGGTAAAAGTGATTACAATATCATAGCAAAGAGATAATTTGGCTTGAAGGCATGCAAGCATAATATATATCCTACAACAGATTTACCCACAGATGTTGTAACTGCTGCTCCAAATCCCTAAAGATCATTGATGGTTGAATCTGGTGTCCAATCTTGTTCCATAAATGCTGAATGGGCAAGAAATCTGGAGACTGAGCATGCCAATCTGACAGCAATTCCTAAGAAACTTAAATGTATGCAGCTGAGCATTATCTTGTTGTTTGCAGCCCAACAATGAAAGGCAATACATGAAGATGAATGGTTTCCTGAACATACTTCTGCACTGTCAATGTCCCTTGTACCACTACTAGGAATGGCAGATGTTATACAAGGAATGGCAGATTGTTATACAAAATCAGCATATCAGCAGTGCAAGTCAATAATAAAAGTAAGATTGAAGCATTCACCAGTACTACTAATATGACACACTAATATTCAACAGACATACTAATTTGGTGGTTGTCTCTGTTCCCAAACAAAGCTTTGTCTCTAAATATGATACAGTGCCAGTCTATAGAGTCCATGCTTCTCTATCAAAGCACCATTCCAAAACCAAAAATTTTGGGATGCTAATGGCAGAACACATGGCAGTTACAGTGCATGGAAATCTGCCTCTGATAGTTGCCTACCAATTGTATAGGAAGAGAAAGTGTTCTATAGTGAGGCTTCACCTGTCTCTGGATGGTGGACAAAGCTACTGTTTAATCTTTTCATGCTTACTTCTCCTGGTTGTCTGTTTAGAACATCATCTAGAGCCTGCCTGCCATGTATGTGTGCCCTCACTTATACGCTGTCTCCAACACATCCTCACAGTCAGATCAGGTGTCAGGAAATTTGGCAAAATAGTCATCCTGCTTTCCTCAGCCCAATGATGTGGTCTTTCTCAAACTTTATCAGCCATTGTAATGTCTTTGACTGTATTGTACAGGTTTGCTTAGCATTCAAAGACCTCCAAACAACAGGTACAGTGAAAATTCTGAACATAACCTCTTCCAACCTTTTTATAGGATACAGAGATAGCTATCTGAGATATTGCCAAGCATGCAATTAGATTACAATTGCGATTAAAGAGGCATAGTTGTATGCTGAGTTTTGCAGTAATTGCACAATTCTATTTGGGACATAACTTTTTTGTCAATGAGTATATATAAGAACACTGAAATAGTCCTATATTTGTAAAAATAAACATATATATAAGATAATTTTGTATTTTCTTTGTGTTTTCTTTAACATGGCAATCAGTATCAAGTTGGGAAGAGTTTTATCAATACATCACAATTTAGCATTTTGAAAAATATTAAAATATTTGCAAGTTTATTTAAATTAGCTAATTTAAATTTTTAATAAAAATAATAGAGAAAAAATATTTAGCAATTTTAATTTATAATATTTGAATTATAAATTCCAAAAATCACATACATTTTTACTGTATTATAATATATATGAATGTTAAAAATTGATATTGTGTTATAGATTTGACAATTATAAACGCTTTTATCCATTAAAAATATTTCTCATTGCAGTTACATAACAATCTAATTGATCAATAACAGTTATACATGATATACAAAGAATTTTTAATTACTGAACTTATATAATTATTATCAATGACTTAGCATTATATTATTATTCAATAATGAGCGTAATAAATATTTTTTATAATGTAAAATGAACAAATTGAGGAGAATACAGTAACAAATTTCTTTGTAAAAAATCATTGTTTCAATCAAGACAATATATTCCAATTCTTCTATACATCATAAACAAGTGAGGTACTGTACAACAGTAATGAAAAATTTTCTTTCAAAATAAAAATGTAATACAGTTGCACAAGTGAATAAAANGAAACTACATACCAATGATTAATAATATAATGTTACAAAATGTAATTAGCATAAAAGAAAAAGATAACATATACATCTTTTTCTTTTACGCTAATTACATTTTGGCATTACGTATAAATAATTCATTTTGTGAGTACTTTCGACAGTATATAACTGTCTTCTTCAGACAGAACCATTTGAATTCAAGGAAAAGAGCCCAAACATCAATCAACATTTTTTTTAAATTACAGTACATTTTTTCAAATTCAAACATTGATGTTTGGATTCTTTTTCTTGAATTCAAATGTTTTGTCCTCTATGCACCGTTCTGTCTAAAGAAGACAGTTATATAATGGCGAAAGTACTCACAAAATAAATAAATAAATTTTATATAACACTGACAGACAGTGGTATATGTTATCTTTTTATATTAATATTTGGCATGTATAGCTATTTAAAACTTTATTAATAATCATAGCATAAAACAACAGTATTTATTTTAATTAAATTTTTCTTCTACTAAAAGAATTCTACAATTTTAAATGGAGTTAGAATGACAATATCCTCCTCATATACCATAAATAATTTTATTTCCATCTCTTAAATATTTAAGATATTTTCCATAAAAGCAGATATAATTGATAAAAATAAAATATATGAAAAAATAAATTAAATCTAAATATTTAACATAAAATATATATTTTTTAATTATAAATTTAAATGTATATATAACTAATTTACCTTCAGCATCAAGAAGTCGGGGAATTCCCAACTCTTGCTGAGCAACATCAAATGCATTGTTTAGATTTCCCAAGTGATCGTATGGATTTAAAGAAGAATAGTTAATTAGATCAGGTCTATGAGAATGTATGAGAGCATTAAATCCTAAACCATTTCTCCAACTAACAGTGAAATCTTGAATATTGACTCCAGGATATCTAAAACATATGTCATATAATTGATTCAAAATAATTATAGTATTAAAAAATAAATAATGGAGAAAAACTAGAATTTTAAATGTAAAAATAATTATTTGTATACTTCATCATATGTAGAAGTAAATACAATAAAACTTTATATAAAAATACTGTTAAATTATATTTTATTTGAATGTCTACATAAAAGTCTTTTTACTAATGTAAAACTTAGAACACTGAAAATTTCTTTGTAAAAGATCTCTTTGTATTATAAAAATAGTTTAATAATTTTATAATAAAAATTTAAATATTCTAAGAAATTTCTGATTATTTTACCTTTCAAAATTGATTGATTTTGAGAGCATATGAAACATAAAATTTTGACAGATAAAATAAAATAAAATATCATTTATTCCTTAAAATAAAACATTCATTTATCTTACATCTGTCGCTTTAAAATATCAATATTTCAAAATGACAGATTGTGTATGTATATAAATTGAAATTTATTTATAAACTTTTTGTTATGTATCAATTAATGATACAAAAAAATATTTAGAAATCTGATCACTTTTTCCAAATAATACCTAATAATCAAATTTATCTTAAATTCAACCTAAAAGTGATTTCTAAATAGAATAAGATATCTTTTGGCTTTAAAAAAAGATGAGAAAATGCTTGTATATCAATAAACATAAATAATTTGCTATGAATTAAATTATGATTTAAAAAAAAAAAAAGATGTATTAAATTTAAAAACCAAAAGTTAAAGATCTTAATTTCCATAATTTTTGTAAACATAATATTTAAAATTTTAATATACACGTTAACTTTTTACATTGCAACTTTTATTAATGAATATAATTTTTCATCAAAATAAATAAAATAATAATCTTAGAGTATCAGATTTTTTTTAGATTTTAAATATGAAATTCTAGATTGATGTCTCGTTTCCCAATTTCAATGCATATCTTAACCTCAATCTCAAAACTATTTCAATATACTAGTAAACAACTATATTTGATTCTCTAGAATACAACACAATTATTTAAGAAAGATTTAGATAAGATGATAATGCTTCAATATCTGAGATTCTTTTGTATTTATATATTTAGATATAAAAAATAAACAATCAGGAAGAATGCTCTGAATTAAGCAAAATTTCTGATATATTTTAAGACAAAAATGCAATTCTNGTAAAAGATCTCTTTGTATTATAAAAATAGTTTAATAATTTTATAATAAAAATTTAAATATTCTAAGAAATTTCTGATTATTTTACCTTTCAAAATTGATTGATTTTGAGAGCATATGAAACATAAAATTTTGACAGATAAAATAAAATAAAATATCATTTATTCCTTAAAATAAAACATTCATTTATCTTACATCTGTCGCTTTAAAATATCAATATTTCAAAATGACAGATTGTGTATGTATATAAATTGAAATTTATTTATAAACTTTTTGTTATGTATCAATTAATGATACAAAAAAATATTTAGAAATCTGATCACTTTTTCCAAATAATACCTAATAATCAAATTTATCTTAAATTCAACCTAAAAGTGATTTCTAAATAGAATAAGATATCTTTTGGCTTTAAAAAAAGATGAGAAAATGCTTGTATATCAATAAACATAAATAATTTGCTATGAATTAAATTATGATTTAAAAAAAAAAAAAGATGTATTAAATTTAAAAACCAAAAGTTAAAGATCTTAATTTCCATAATTTTTGTAAACATAATATTTAAAATTTTAATATACACGTTAACTTTTTACATTGCAACTTTTATTAATGAATATAATTTTTCATCAAAATAAATAAAATAATAATCTTAGAGTATCAGATTTTTTTTAGATTTTAAATATGAAATTCTAGATTGATGTCTCGTTTCCCAATTTCAATGCATATCTTAACCTCAATCTCAAAACTATTTCAATATACTAGTAAACAACTATATTTGATTCTCTAGAATACAACACAATTATTTAAGAAAGATTTAGATAAGATGATAATGCTTCAATATCTGAGATTCTTTTGTATTTATATATTTAGATATAAAAAATAAACAATCAGGAAGAATGCTCTGAATTAAGCAAAATTTCTGATATATTTTAAGACAAAAATGCAATTCTTGAAAATGTTATAATTTAATTAAAAAAAAAAATTGTAAACTTCTTTATTGTAAAACTAAATTTCTTTTTTATAAAAAATAAAAACGAAAAGTGAAACTGATATTTTTATTAAAATTTATCTTACCCACTAGTTTTCCTCTGACACCATAACAATAAAGCATCTTTTGCAGATTTCTTTTCACTGCTTTCATCATCTTCATTCTTAAATATAAATAAATTTATAGAGGAAAAAATATATCGGATATAAAAATTAAAACAAATAATTTTTACTAAAATTATATGAAATAAAATAAAATTTTATAGATTATTCAATATTACTAACTTCATTGATTTCAATATCTTGAATTTGAAACCTAAGAATAATGGTCCATATTAATCCTAGTATCAACCGTGGATTTCCATCGACAATGTCTTCTGCACCTATACTTTCTAACCGTACCTAATATAATTAAAAAATAAAGACATCATTTTTATTTAAACAAACTGATTTATACATATTAAATATTTGATATTTATTAAGTATAAATCAATTTTTTTTTTTTACCTTTGTGTGGAGAAATGCTAAACTTTTATTGACATTTTCAATTTTGTGAAATCTCATTCTTCCATGATTTGGTTTACCAAGTTTTTCTCCAGATATAATTTCTAATAATTTCAATAATTTCTTGCCATCGGCTAAATCAGTAAATAAATCATCCACCTCCATCCGAGCCTAAAAAAAAGAAAATATCATGAGTAATTAGTTTAATAATACTACCTGAAGTATTTTAAAATTACTTTAAAATTGTATTTTTAAAGAGTTTTTCAATGATCAGATAGATGGTTGAGGCAGTTAAGGCATCAGGCTATTGCTCTAGAGATCCAAGATTGAATCCAAGTAGATAAAGGGTCCCAGGAATTTTTCAATAAATGGGCAGATCCAACATGTCCAGATCTGTCCCAGATATATTTACCCCATTGTACATCCCTCATCATCCAGTTGTTACCCCATTGGTTTGGCCAAACCCATAATGGGCTTGGTAAAAAAGGCCCTCTTAGTGCCTACAGGATAAAACAAGTAAAAAATGGTAGTTTGATTGAAAAATTATCAACACTAATTCTTATAATTTATACATTTAATTCATAGAATGTAACTCTCTCAAAAAGCATGCTCTTTTTCGAGAATGCTTTTAAAGTGCATAATAATATAANAGCTTTAAATTAAAAAATCAGTATAAATATTTGTTTGTTTAAGAAACATAACCAAACAACAACTTTGAATTGAAGACGTTTACATAAATATTTACATATTTAAACATTTTTGAGGTATTTCAAGGTTATTTACATTTTAACATATTTGTAATCCTGTATCCTGTTCAGTTTAGAATTTCAGTTTTAAACTATTATTGATTAGGTGTATTATTTCTCGAAAATCTTTAAAAAAAAAAATAATAAATATTTATGCCAATTTCTTAACTTTAAGGCTGTTACTTGACTGTACCACTTACAAAAATGTTTCCAATTACATAATGAATAAATTATATTCTTTTTATAGTTATTTTTCCTTGATTTTTATTTACTAGTGTTGTAATAATTATCTTTAAATAATTTGCTTAAAGTGCATTGCTTTGTGAAATTTAAAAAATATAATTAAACCGAAATTACAATTTATCTTCTACAATATTTCATAAATGATGGCATTAAATTATAATTGCGAGTGACCTATCTTTATAGACCTGATTTCTGAATTAATTAACAATTTCTTTTCAATTAAATCTTTCATCATCATTTTTTATATATATAAATATATATTAAAAGTAGATTATGGTTTAATATTTATGTACAGTACAATTGCTTCCAGCAGTATACATATATGGCTAACTAAGAATTAAATTCATTTAGTTGTTAATCAGATCAACTTTACAACTGTATTATTATATAATATATATAATTATATGATAAAGTAAATAAGGTTTTTCATAATTAATTCAAAAATATGAAAAATAAAATTATAAAATTTTGTATAATTTTAATTATTTTATTAATAAATAAATACAATTATTCTTCATGTATGTTGCATTGAAGATGTTAATCCAAATGTGAAGTTATATTAATTCTTCATTGTTTTAGAATGAAATCAGTGAATGAAATGTGTTAATCACTATATATTTAGTTTTTTTTTAATGTTTCAGATAATTATCAGCATAACCTATATAGAATTATTAATTATCAAAATAACTAATCAGCAATACAGAGGAAAAACTAATTCAGTTAATTAGGAAATAATTTTAGAATCATGGATATTTTTATCAACACTATAACTTGATAAAAATCAACAAAAGAGTTTCGATAAATATAACCACCACTATTTAAGAAATAATAACGTAAAGTTTAAATATGGTTTCATTAAAATATGAATACATTTCATAAATAATATATTCTAAAGGATAATGATCTTTTCTACAAAAATAAACATTTGATCGAATATATTTAAAGTATTCTCCTAAAAAAACAACATTTTATACATAAATTTATATATATTTTATTTTAAATTTTAATTGTGGGAACTTTAAAAAGCATTGTAAAATAAGATAAGATGATTACAGATTAACAATACGCATCAGAAAATATTTCTATGCATATTATCTTGCAGTAAACTATAATTCTATTGATAAAAACAAAAAAGAAAGAAAGAAAAATATAAGTTTTGCTTCATAGAATAAATACAGTAAAACAATTTTAACATACTATCATATATAAAAATATTTCAATTTTTTAATCAAACAAAATATATCAATTATAGAATTATATTTTCTAAATTTTAAAATATATTTGTTTCTTTTTAAGAATCTCATTATTAATAAATAAATATTGTAAGATATTATTCAATATAAAAAAAAACAACTTTTTTAAGTTTTAAATAAGGATTTATGATTGTAAAGTATAAAATTTGCTTGTTATTAATTTATATTTTGTTCAATTTACAATTTATCAATTTAAGTTTGGTATTAATCATTAGTGCATGAAGACTTTTCAAGGCCCCTAGGCATAGAAGATTGGATGCCCTTCCACATAATTTTACATCATCATAAACTAATAATGTCTAATTGTAGCTACGGTATTTTCTTTTTTATAAAATATAATATACAATTGCAACAGTAAAATTATTATTTTTTTCTAATTTTGGGGCCACCGAGAACCCCGGACTCCTATGCACGTTCCTAGTGGATAATCCAGCACTATCAATTATATATTTTTTTAAATATATGTTAAAAAATAGTTAAACAAAAATATGCCAATATATCAGTATTATATAGAAAACAAAACCTCAGAATTACTTTCTCCTTTTATGGTTGTATTTTTTTTATAATTCTCACGGAAAAAATATTTAAGAATGCATTGTACATTTAGAAGAAAGACTTCACTGATATAAGTAATGCATGAAAGTTGTTTGAATTGAGTAAATCAATGACAATTGTGTTTGAAGAGCAGCAGTCAGATTATATGATAAAGTTGAATGATTTAAGAGTGGAATAAGAACAGGTCAATGAGTTTTTGTATGTGGAATATTTCAACATGATAAAAGAATAAATGAAGAAATTGATAAACTACGAATGCTGAACCAAACATACAAATAAATCAAATTAACAGGTCTTTGCAAGAGGCTTTTGAAAGAAAATGAAAATATTTTCTATTGAAAGTATATTGTAAAACATGATAAAAACAGTATTATAAAGAACATAAAATAATAGTATATTTCTAATATAATTTAAAAACAACTTATGCAAATATATGAAATTAATTCATATGTTCATTTTAGATATTTATTCTTGTTAAAAAATTTGTCTATTTTTTTTAAAGATGAATAGGAGAAGTTTTGAAAAGTTTAAGATAATAACTATATTTAACAACTATACAAAAATATGCAAAATACACAGAGATAGTTAATTAACTTTAATTGTTAAAATGAAAAGCATTTTTATTTAAAGATTCATGAATATTTAATAATTAAAATCAACTTAAAAAAATTATTTTCCATTTTCTGAGATAATTACAACAGAATAAAACTTAATTTACTTTAATTCAAATATTTGCTTCTTATTATTACTGGATTAAAAAAAAATAATTATAACTTTTATCCAAATTTAAAACTATTTTATAAAATATATAATAAAAACAATTTTCAAAGTTCTTCCATGAACTTAATTTTTGTTTATTAAATTAAACCAGTATTCAATCCAGCAAAACAAGTTCGTAAATGTCCTAAATTCTTTAATGTTGTAAGTTTTTATATATTCGTAAGCTCCGATACAACTGATAAATTACATGATATAATAATTCGTGATGATTTTAATAATAAATAATAAAAATATTTATATATAGAAACTATCATTTACAACATTTTTTAAATTTTATAAATAGTATAATATAATAATACATAGAAGTCATGCCATTGTACAATAGTTAAGAAGTATTACCTTAATATTTTTTAATTAAAACCATATTTTATATTAAACAAAAGTTTTAAAATGATCTTCACAAAAGAAAAACTGTATTTCTTGATTGAAATATACTTAAAAAATAATATTTTGTATATAAATTACAATTTATACAGTACATTTATAAATGATACATTGTATTGCTTATAACACTTTAAGGTTATTGTTTTTAATTGTAAAATAATTTCAAAAAAATAGCTTTAAATTAAAAAATCAGTATAAATATTTGTTTGTTTAAGAAACATAACCAAACAACAACTTTGAATTGAAGACGTTTACATAAATATTTACATATTTAAACATTTTTGAGGTATTTCAAGGTTATTTACATTTTAACATATTTGTAATCCTGTATCCTGTTCAGTTTAGAATTTCAGTTTTAAACTATTATTGATTAGGTGTATTATTTCTCGAAAATCTTTAAAAAAAAAAATAATAAATATTTATGCCAATTTCTTAACTTTAAGGCTGTTACTTGACTGTACCACTTACAAAAATGTTTCCAATTACATGAACAAGACATTATTGATGTTTTCTGAAGATATAATTTTTCTGTTTCATTAACACTGCTAAAAATAAATAAATAAATAAATAAAGATGAGAAATTAACTCTATAAAAAGAATCTCATTAAAAAATTTCTTGGGTATTTATAGTGGTGAAACTACAATGGTGGAAAGTAGTTTGGCCAAACCAGGATCTAGAACCAACAGGGGCCTAAGCATGTCAATAAAAAAGCTTGCAGTTCATGATCAAAGCAATTGTTTTGATCACAGGTCGAGTGATTTTTTTCAGTCAATAGTTAAAAGTTTTTTTGGGGATACAAATCCTGTTCTTTGTAGTGGGAGGTGTGGTTTGGAAGAAAGGGCCGACATTAGAATTTTGAATCATGGTCTAAAGTGAAGTTATTCGGCATCTGATTTTAACTTTTTGTCCATATTCTATTAGTTAAAGACTATAAATATAAACTCATATAACTTTAAATTCTAATTTGATATCCATTTGCTTATTTATATGAAAATTTAAATTTGATAAGTAAAAAGATAAAAAGTAAGAATTAATTAACATGCTATTAATCAAATGATAAATGAAACCATATAGATTTTTATTAAAGAGCAATTTCATGTTTTCCATTTGCAGAAGAATATAATACTAAAAATAAAAGTTATAATAGATTTATTATAGATATTTTACATGAATTATTAATATTTGATGATAAATATATATTTTACAATAAATCAAATAAGTTAGCATTTTTTGTTTTTGGTAAAAAAAATGTTAAATTTTATTTATATATGTTAAAAAATAGTTAAACAAAAATATGCCAATATATCAGTATTATATAGAAAACAAAACCTCAGAATTACTTTCTCCTTTTATGGTTGTATTTTTTTTATAATTCTCACGGAAAAAATATTTAAGAATGCATTGTACATTTAGAAGAAAGACTTCACTGATATAAGTAATGCATGAAAGTTGTTTGAATTGAGTAAATCAATGACAATTGTGTTTGAAGAGCAGCAGTCAGATTATATGATAAAGTTGAATGATTTAAGAGTGGAATAAGAACAGGTCAATGAGTTTTTGTATGTGGAATATTTCAACATGATAAAAGAATAAATGAAGAAATTGATAAACTACGAATGCTGAACCAAACATACAAATAAATCAAATTAACAGGTCTTTGCAAGAGGCTTTTGAAAGAAAATGAAAATATTTTCTATTGAAAGTATATTGTAAAACATGATAAAAACAGTATTATAAAGAACATAAAATAATAGTATATTTCTAATATAATTTAAAAACAACTTATGCAAATATATGAAATTAATTCATATGTTCATTTTAGATATTTATTCTTGTTAAAAAATTTGTCTATTTTTTTTAAAGATGAATAGGAGAAGTTTTGAAAAGTTTAAGATAATAACTATATTTAACAACTATACAAAAATATGCAAAATACACAGAGATAGTTAATTAACTTTAATTGTTAAAATGAAAAGCATTTTTATTTAAAGATTCATGAATATTTAATAATTAAAATCAACTTAAAAAAATTATTTTCCATTTTCTGAGATAATTACAACAGAATAAAACTTAATTTACTTTAATTCAAATATTTGCTTCTTATTATTACTGGATTAAAAAAAAATAATTATAACTTTTATCCAAATTTAAAACTATTTTATAAAATATATAATAAAAACAATTTTCAAAGTTCTTCCATGAACTTAATTTTTGTTTATTANTAAAATATCAACAACAAAAATTTTTTTCCTTTATTTTTTTTTTATTATTATTATTTATACAATATAAATTGTACTGTTTTAAAAACAGTAAATTATTTTTCCTGAACATAAAAATTTAAATTGCAGAGTAGAATTTATTTACAGCTCATCACAATGAACTTTATGTAAACTCACGAAGAGAGAAAGAGAGAGAGAGACAGACAAACAGGCAGGAAAATTACGGAAATGACGTCAACTGCAATTAATCCACGTTTAAACGACGCAATTAGGACCATAGAAAATTAAAAAAATAAAAAAATAAATATTTAACTCGATCCGCTTTTGATCACCGACTTCAGAAAATTGTCGAGTCAACTTGTATGAAATTTATAATTAATTATATTCCGCACGTCAAAAGAAGGAGGAAATTCCATTGTAGAGGCGTGGAAATTCGTCTACGGTGCGTTTTTGGTCATTACGTTACGTTGTTGTCGTTACTAGCTTCCTCAAGCCACGAAAATACCAAAGTCACGTCATCAGTAACCAGACCTGTTTCTTCTTACCAACCTTCAACTGACTATTATTCACCTCGCAGGTGTAGTTTGGGGCTCCAAAAACGTTGCGAGACATTTTCTTCCGTTTTATCGTCACCCTCAACCTCACGCGTGCGCCCAAAAAATAAATAAAAATAAAAATTGGATCCTGATGATGATTATAAATACATTTATTTAATTAAAACAAAGAGTTTTACTACACGTAAAAACTACAGAACGGTGTCTCGTATTACATTTGAATTCGATATAATTGAATTATTCGGTAGCATTTTTTAGTGTGTAAGAATGGCGAATTTGCGGGTCTATTGTTAGGTTACAATTATCAAAGTTGGATATATTTTATAAGAGTATCGATAAAAATAAAATATCTATAAATAATGGGTCTATCCGGTCAAACCAGTTGGTAAAAATTTGGCTCAAGTTTTATTGTAAGTACTGTAGTAACTAACCCAAAGCAATAACTAAACAGAAATATATCTTTTTAATTCCTTGTAGAAAAATTTATTAAGTGGATAATTGAACCAAGACGTTTCCTTGGAATTAAAAGTTTCCTGGAGATTAAAGAAGAGATTGGCTAAAAATATCTCGAATTAACTATTGTATTTTTTTAAGTAACCTTTAAAACAAGCGGCAATATACAAACTAATGGTTACTTAATTTAAATAAATAAATAATTTATAATTTTTTATTGAATACAAACCTTTTGAAGGAATGAATTCATCCATTTTGTGAATGTTTTCTTTTGGATGTATAATCTTTCCCTTTGAAGAGCTTCAATCCTCTCGGTTTCGAAATTTATTGCGCTTTGTCTTTGAGATATCATCGCGTAGGATCTGTTAGCATTACTCTGTCAAGAAATTATACATAAAATGTTAATTAAAATCGTAATAAAAACTTATATAAATTTACCTTTAAGTTTACCTATTTAGAAATTAAACCAGTTCTTAACCGCATCACTTCCAATAATATTTATATGGTTAACAGAACGTCCATAGAAAATTTAATGTTAAAAAAAAAAGATATGCACGAGACTAGTTTTTTTACAGATCTAATCATAAAGTAAAACGTCTAAATACTATTATATACTTAATGTATGGTATTTTCAATGCAATTTTCATTATAATTATCGATCTAGAATGGTGTAAAGGTTTATTTCTGTAGAAAAAAAAACATATATATATGTATCGATTTTAACAAACTTACCTTATTCGAATACATGGTATAGGTAAGGAAACGGCCATATAACTTAATACTAAAGAACAATAGATAGATGATAAGAGATTATTTACCAATGAAGTACATAGGTCTCTATCTTATCTATTTTCTACTTCAACCGACGACATGTTTACACAATTCAGCGCCATAAATGGTCTCATACTAAAGAGGGTGTCGGTTAGTACGTCTGAGTGGATACTAGTGAAGATTACTTAAGAAGTTAGTTCATTACCGCTTTAAAATATTAAATAATAATATATCTAATAACGAAAGCATCGCAATATTTTGATTTGTAAATTAACCTCGTATGTGGGCTACACAATTCTGAATTTATTTTTAAACTTTTGGGGATTTTTTTCCCATTAAAAACAGTGCAACGATGCGGTTTTGTTTTGGATGGGCGTTTACAGTCTACGGGTTAATACTGTAATTAGTAATTTGCAATAGTTAGTCGAGCAGGAGAAGCGAAACGAAAGGCATTGAATCGATTAAACTTCGAAATAACACGGGATGAACTTAATAAAAACAAAATGGCGGTTTTTTTCTTTCTCTCTCTCTCTCTCTCCCCTTTTACTACGTTTATGCAAATTGGTGCGTGTTATAATCGGTTTTCTGGTAGGAAAAAACAGAAGTGAAACTAAACAGATTTACTTTAATTTTATTTTTTTTACACGTTGGAAAGATAAATTAATATTTTTAAAAGTTATCTAAAGTGGTGGTAACCGATTACGGCTGACATTCCTTGATAAGATTTATAAACAATTCGACGGGGTCGAGTCATTACTTTTGAAAATAATGAGGTACGTATGCTGCAGTGACAATTGCAATGAATCAAATCTATACGAAATAATGAAAACAAAACCATCGTTTAGTTTAGTTTTTTTTTCTTATGTGACATAATTTAGGGGAAAAAAAGGGGATTTTTCTGTCATAATTTAGGGGGATGAAATAAAAAATATAGAAAAATTAGGTTAATTTTATAGCTCGAATGTAGGAAATATTTCAAAATCCCCTCCAAAAATAATAATAATTAAAAAATGTCAGATTTTATTCGATTTTTTTCTTAAATATTAACCAAAATCGAAAACAATATCGTCGAAACGTCATTGGGGGATATTCAAATTGCGTGACGTCACAGTTCATTGCGCACGAAGTTTACGTCACACCTGCCTCGCCATATTTTCTCTTTTTTTTTAGTTATTTTTTTTATTCTTCTTTAGCGTGTTATCAATAGTTTAAAATTACGAGAGATTTATTGGCTTTGCTATATTTTATTCCGAGTACATTTACGAAGAAGAACCGCGGCGATATCACGGAATACCGCCGATCACGTGATCAAGTTCTAGGAGAAAGCGACGCCCTGTACAAGGACAGAAGCTTCGGTAACCATGGCAACCACGTGATCAGACTTACGACGACGGCCGCGAACTTTTTCCCTTTTTTTTTATTTTCGTATTTGCCCTCTATTTTTTCCTCTTACGTGGATATTTTTTAATTAATCCAGTTTAATGCATAACGGCACGTAACGTACGTTGTTAAATTCATATCTGCCGTATCTTATCTCGCGGTCAAAGGGGGGAAAAACCCCCGAGCGCCATGGAAACAAATGTGGAAGAGAGGAAACGGTGCGGCCGACGTAAAAGGGGAAAATACTTCCTGGAAATATTAAATAAGCGAAAAGAAATCAATGGCGGAGAGATGGACAGTAGATGAATGAAGAAGGGTCATTCCACCTGATAACATCCCGGAAAAGCTCACTATTCGGGATCATCCGTGGCATTCGTTTTGAGATTTCTCTCCCATGCATCACTGATTTATCAGCCGTGTCATCTCTTTCATTGTCAGAAAAATTGCTGCAAAAGAACATTGCTACTGTTTTGTCATTTATGACAAACAGCAGCAATGCTTTTATTTCTTATAATTTACATAATTTCGTCGACTGAGTAACATACTTCTCTTCTAAATTGTCTCTTAACATCGCAATCTTTACACGGGAACATCGGCAGCTTGCGCTATTTGTCTTCTTCCCCCCCTTTTTTTAAGCCGTTACACCAACAATTTCAACATATTTAGGAAATTAGCATCTCTAAAATACTATTTTTTTAATATATAATTTTAAATCTCTGGAAGAATCTTAATGGTATTTTTCTGGCTTTTCTTCGCTTTTTTTTTACCTGTTAGAAAACAAAACCATAAATTTATATGCTACACTCCACTTCTGTATGCCGATTTCGCATAAAATAATCGTGCAGCAACACAAATTTTACATTAAAATAATCGAAATTTAATAGAACCTGTAATAACGACCACCTCTAAACAAAACCTCCGAACAACGGCCATTTTTTTTTAATGTTCCCGTCGGTGACCGTTGTCGAGAGGTTTAGAATCAAATACTAAACTTAATACCTGTGAAAGTTTCTCGGTAGATTTATAATATGAGGAAAAAGAAAGAAAAAAAAAAGAGAATGAATAGAGCAAATTGTTCATAAATCGGTTCAGTTCTCGTTCAAAGTTATCATTTGTTACCTTTACTAATGGCTGCTTTGGGGTCTTGTAAGCCTTCGTTTGTAGTTTCTTTGCGCAATACTTGGTTCCTTTCTAGTCCATTGCCTGCTCGCCCGAGGACAAAGCCAACAGATAATATCTCTTTCTACGCTCCTCCCCTATATCAGATACATACTGCTCGTGCTTTTATTAGTTCCTTTTCCTGATTCTTCTTGTTCCACATATTCATTCATGGTCTTAAAGTTTCTATACAAGTCGTATACTAAAATTACAATTTCCGATCTTCGAGTGGGTCTAAATTACAAAGTGGCACAATTTACCAGATGAAGAAATGTATATTACTATTTATAATTAGGTGTTTTTAATACGAAATCAGTTCATAGCCTTACTTTTCTGGAGAGAAATCGTTGATAGAATTCCAATTATGGAGGGTTTTTTTTTGTTTTCTCCCCTCTTTAAGAAATTAACAAATATTGACAACAAGGCGGAACGTGTTCTGGTGTCAAATATTTGCATAAAACAAATTAGGAAATATGTTTGCACTAAAGCAAAATTAAGCAATATCTCGAGGAATAGTTTAAGCGTTATTCATAAGCCACGCAATTTTTCAGAAGAATTTATCATTGTAATTTTTCTACGAGTTATCCTATATGACCTTATGTCGGTCATTATGCCCATCCTTGTTCCGCATGTTTCAATATTCATCACTTTGCCGAACAGGATACTGGTAATCAAATGCGCCCAAAAATCTTCTTGTGAAATCGGAGGAAGTTCGTTTTAAAATATATATATTGAAGTAGTATAGTAAAAACTATATATTTAAGCTAGTAAGGAGGATTCTTACTTTTAAAATCATTTCAGAAATTTAGAGAATTCGACGCTTCATGCATTACTTCAGAGATGAACCATTCTCACCTGGAAGCAATTCTGGCATTCGGAAGTAGTAAGTAGCAGTAGTAGTAGAAGAATCCTTCACGGGTCTTGCTCTCGTCCTTACCGGAATTGCGTCCTAATAAACATGTGCTGAAACTAAGTGAGATGATGTGCCAACATGTGGAAGTCAAACATTACTTCGTCTCAAGAGCGAGATTATTACTGGAAGTGATAATATCTACACCATTTTTTCGGAGTGTCTGAGCATTACAAATACAGAAACGGTCGATGAATTTCATACCCAAAAAAAAAAATGTTCGTATGCACGGTTAGATAAAGGATTAAATTTATTTAAATCTAATATTTTTGTACGTAAAAAATATTTTAAAAGTCGGAAAGTATGTATTAGAAACCCGACAACTGCACCGATGATACTGTCTGTATATAGGGCTTCGACTGGTAAAGGCAATTAGAATTTTGATGTGACGTTAACCTCGTTAGAATTACTGTTATATTAAAACTGAATGAACGTAATGAATTCATTTCCTCGTTGCGGTTGTCAGTAGGAGACTGCCCTAATAAAAATTATTCCTCGGGGATTAACGGTTATAAAGATATGTATGACACATCGCGTCATCTCTGTCGAGCCGCATCTAGAACTCGCCCTTTAGTCTCGAGGAAAGAAAGAAAAAAAAAAAGGATCCATTGCCATCTGGCTGGAACCGATCCCGAAATTTTCGCGCCATGTGCAACTGAGGCCTTTCTGTCGACAGACTAGTTCACCTTTCCAGTGGCCCAGTTAGTCGAACAGGTTCTTGTCCTGTTAAAGGTCGGTAAATCATCCTTGATTTTTCAGACGGCTCTTTAAGTTTGAGTCGTCAAGCGAATCAACGATAGAACTCCCATAGTTCTAAAAAAAAAAAAAAAACTACTTTTTAAAGTAGCAATTTGTGATGATTATCATCAAGGCAAACAGTAGTCTAACGTCAAGCATTCGTAAACAGAAAGAAGCCATCACTTATTAATTAATCCAATCTTTATACCCCGTATTCTAACAATCTATATCTATAAATCTCAATGGAAAAAAATTTGGAGTGAAGATTGGAATTGATTCCTAACAACATACGGAGAAATTCTTCCTGTGTTTCATTGCGAGGGGCCATCAAAAGGAGCCGGGCCCTTCTGTACTTTTTCAAACTCACTAAATTACTACATTTTGTTACGAATTATCGGATAGAATATTTGTATAACCCATAATTATGATGCAATCTCTATATAGTATTACGATTATCTCATAATTACGTGGTGTTATCCGCCATGACGAAATAACCGAGTGGCAATCTAACCAAGTAAGGAAATAAAGACGAGGAACGTAGTAGAAGGAAGACAAATCGACTTATCAAACCGCAGTAATACGATACCTCAACTGCCAAAATATCGTACAACAAACCGGCATTTTTCATTTTCGAATAATCCTTGATCGGTAACATCTGTATTACCAAATAACCGAAGATCCGTTTGTTAATTTAACAAACAAGTCGCTCGTCTATTTTTATAATAAAACAGATTGATTACGAAACGTTTCCAAACCCCCAGAGTAACAAGAAAGTATCTTAAATCGTTCGTGCATCACCGTGACAACTGTTCCTAGGCAATTCAAGAACAGTAGAAAGTGATTTTTCT